CGGGCAACAAGAGCAGTCCACAATCCTAATCTCCATCATGTTGCTATTATGCATGCTTGGCACAAATGTAGCCAGCATTCGCATAACTGCCAACTTTTTCCGAGTCAAATGTGTGACTTCCAAAGAATTCTGATGATTTTTAGAAGACTTCTGAACAATGCTGAAAATGTCCGAAGATCTTCTGGTGACCTTTGAGTACTTCTGCAGCTATTTGAAAGGCAACAATTTTAGCACGTTGTGTTACAGTCTTAGGACACAAAGTCAACATTATGCGCCTCATTGGAATAATTTTGGGTACCTGAGTTGAATTTTCCTTATTAATCATGTGTTGAACAATGCTTCATATGGATTTGTGAGTCATGCCTGATAAATTGTCTTTTATGTGTGAAATCGATGTGTTTGGTCTGCTGTTCAAACATTTTCCAAAGCCATTAGAAATTTTTGCCGATCCATTAAATGCATTAATCAAACCTTTAAACAATTTGAAAGGCCATTTATCAGCCATTAGTTTTTGCCTGTTTCATGGAAATGTGTTAGTGTACATTTTCCTGGAGAAGCTCACATTTTTTTCAAAAATTATAGGTTTTACTGTAGTTAAAAGTCTTGTAACAAATGGGTCTCAGCTTGTAGCCTGGTGTTTTCAATTTATTTTTTGTTCTTGGTTATGCTGATTCTATGCGTTCAAAGTTTAGGGTCTCAGCTTATGGCCAAGATCCGCTCATAGCCGAATAAATACGGTATATTTCGTATCTTTCTCATTCTACAGTGTATAAACACTGGTCTTGACTAGTGAGCCACCAAGCCACTTCTGTTTGAGACCTTAGATATGGCCCTGTATTCTGTAGTTGCTCCCCATTACATTCAATTAAATATATAACCCGCCCCACCTCACTTGGATGAGATTTTCTTAGGGGACCTTAAACAGGAGAGGGGGAACTACTTCACATACGTTCTCTTAAATGAAATCCTAACGATGTTCTCACAACTTGCAAAACGATCATCAAGGGTTTTGCCAGGAGATTTGTGTATTGATCATGCACATTACATAAAAAACTAAAGATCAAGGGCTTTGAAAAGGAACAAAAACACTTTTGCGGCACATTATTCCACTTGAGGAAACTGACCGAAACTGTTTACAGCTCTCATGTGCATTATTTGTCAGATTAATAGACATTTTACTCATCTTTTCGAAAAGAGATGTTGGAACTGCACTATCCTACTCTGACAAAAACCATTTTGAAGCAGGTGGTGTGCGCACTAAGATGGCGGCGAAGGTCGAGAAATTTCGCAGGTTATATGCTTTTCAATAGATACAGTTCTTTCCTTACATCGTTTTTCTCGATTTCATAAGCTAATATTTGTTTAGATTTTTTCTGTGAAGAAAAACAAATCAATACTGTTCATTTCAATCTAAAATGTGGAGCCCGAAGTTTCCTCCTGTAAGAGCATGAAATTTGAACCCGGTTTTTAAGAAGCTATAATTTTCGTTATATTGCCCGTGAAAGTAGAAGATAGTTGTAAGTGTTTCTACAAACCTTGTTCTACGCTAATTTTTTATCGCTCCCCAACGCGCCCCACGTTTTGTGATACTTTTTCCGAATTGAAACCGGCATGTTTTCATGGGAAAATGTAGCCTCACGAAGACCAATGTGACATGTTACTGGAAGTGTTACTGTTGTAATCACAAGCTGATCACAAAATAGCGGGGCAGCGGCGACTGGTTCCTCCAAACAATAGCATCAGGTGAGCATAAAGTGTTCGAAATTGGTATATAAATAGGCTAATGAGCACTCTGATGTAGGAATGTCTGTTTTTGTAATAGGACTAAAAAAAGCATAATAAAATTGTAGTCATACATTTGATTCCCTTTATGCAGGTATAAAATCAGTAGGATAAGAATTACAGGTATTAAATTAAATGATAAGTTTGATTATACAGTTAAGCCCTGTGCATTTTGAAACCAGCCATCCTTTATGAAAAATGGTTTTTGGGAGAATTGCAAGAATAGTGCAGTGTAGAAGAAGAGTTTCATAACATCCACCAAGCTTGCACTTTACTTTTATTCAGAGAAATATGCACATCACTCTTGAGAAAAGAAAATCATAATCTTCTTCCAAGTTTGTTGTGTGTTGTTGTGTGGATGTTATGACTTTGTCAGTTTCTTGCCTAGTCCCTGTTTTATTCAGTGGTGATTAGCCTCTGTAGCAGGCCCTTAAAAGGAAAGGGAAAGGGGTTTTGGGCACAAGAGAAATGCGAAGAGTGCACGAGGAAGGAGGGAGGGATTTCAAAATTCACCTGGTTGATGTTTATAATGCAAAAAACAATTAGTCTCCTGTATGGCAGGCATTTCCCTCCCTCCTTCCCTCACATTTCTCTTGCACCAAGACCCACTTTCCCTTTTCTTTGAAATGCCTGCCACACAGGCTAAGTGATGTCATTCAATCTGTTTACCCGTTTACACTGTTTAATATATATCAAGCAATAATATTATTTGCATATTTTGGTGGCTTAAGTTAAAATGTAAATTGCTTGATCATTGAATGTACTTTTGATATTGGAAAACCAAGGCTGAAAAGATGGTGACAGGGAAAGGAAATAGAAAAAGTGGAACAATGGGGCAGTAAAGTTGTGAGACTAAGAACCTGGATTAACTAAGTAAGTCTAAACAGATTCTTATATAAATAGTAGTTAGCACAAGTTTAGGCTATTTAGGTTTTTAAATGGATTCATATTTTCTGAAGAAAAAAATGTAGCTAAGAGTATTTGTGTTTCACCTTATTCCTCATATAAAGTCTGCATACCAAATTAGAAGTTATGTGAGAATGGACATAAAAAGAGGAATGCATTCAAATTTAAACATTGGCATTTACATTGCGGTTCGAGTGATAAGACAGCTATGTATCCAAAGAAGATTCTAAATGTTGATTTATCTCTGCTTAAGTGTTCAGAATTTTTTCATAGATTTCAAAAATAAGAACCTGTTTCAAATTTTAGGCAAAACAGGTTTTTATGTAGAGGGGGCTCATCTGGCATATTTTAGCCTAACAGGTTCTTAAAATTCAGGTTCTAAGTCAAGGGGTTTTACTGTACTACTAGGATCCACCTCTGCAATAACTGGTAACCCAAAAGCCCTCTTTACGGACAACCGCCTCATACAGACACCTGATCAAGGCTGTGCTCTAGCAGAGCCCTGTGGCCCCTGGCACCTAACTTTTGCTTTTGTGACTAGAAAATCTCAGACTTTTCATACAAATCATATGCTGGGCAGCCTAGACTTTACAGGTTCAGAGAACTGGGCTCCTTTCAATGTTCCTTAGAGCACAGCCTTGTGCGGGGAAACGGATTGGTCGAGGGCGATACATATGTCAATCATGTTAGATGATCCTTCCCATATATCTCCCAATTAAGGGAGCAGATGGCAAACTGGAAAACGTAAGTGATTGTGGTTTCCCCTTTAAAACGGCATAATTGATGACCAAATAGCCGAAATGGCGTCTTTAAACTTCACAGCGCTGGAATTGTCTTTATTTAGCCGTAAGAAACAAAGGTCAAAGAAAATTAGAACACTTTACAACTGCATCTGAGATCAAATCCTATCAGGAACACCTACAGAAGAATAAACCACAGGAAATGGTAACTCAGTATGCATGTAACAAACCAGCTTCATGTCCTTTCAGTTTTAAGCCTAGTGTGACAAAAAAAGATTTACTCAGTCAAAGTTTAGAATGATACATGCACTGTTTAATGCTAGTAACCTTCGCGCGAGAGCTGAGAAAATAAAAAAACCTCGGTTCAACCAAACTCACAAGGTCACGTTTGACATTATCACGACCTTAGGAGTCGTGTTTAGCCTGTCAACGCTTATTTCTAAGCTGTCTCGCGTGAAAATAATCGGAAGTTTCAAATTGCTGATTTAATTGGGATCAGCTAAGGTGACAAAAGTGGGCGGCATTCGAAAAATCATGGTTCTCTGGCAGGCGGTATTTCTCGCGGCTTCGCCGCTCGTGACGGCTCCACCGTCAAATCTCACTCGAATATATTACGATGGCTCCGCCGCCAAATCTCACTCGACTACTACACCATACCGCCAGCTACGCAGGCTAACATTCAAGAAAACCAACTTTAAAAGTCGCATTTGGAAATGGCAACAACGCCATTTTCGAAAACTCTTTGAAGTTGTGCGCTTCTCTCTTCGTCACGTCGCGATGGCCAAGATCATCCGGACAAACATACTACCAAATTCACCACCACCCCCACCCCCACCCCACCCCCCCCGAATTATTTACTTTGGAAAAAGTATTGCAATTATCCGCTAACCACCAAAGGTGGTCGCCTTGCAAGTTGTGAGAACATCGTTTCTCTGTCCCAGACCTTGTCTCTCCCCGCCCCCACCCCTGTAGCTTCGAAAGTTTAATATATACAGTCCAACCAAAATCTGATCCGACAATTCATATATTTTTCTTCCATTCTACCATTTGTGGAAGTACAGCTGCTGGGCAAAGTACTATGTGGGGGTGTGCGGACCAATAGTTTTACCGAGAGTTTAAATGAAACAGATACTACACTGTGCTTTGCACATGTAAACAGTTCAGCTTACCTTAATAGAGCACGGGAACATAGACATGTTACGGCTTCTGATGAATCGTCAAAAAATAAAATCATTTTACCGACGCAATCCCCTGCTGTGCCAGCATTCATATTGGGATGAGGAGTATGGCCACAAACATGATAAACGTGCAGTAAAACGTCCCACAACGTCCACGACACGTTTCGAAGACGCTGTTATATTGAAAGCGGAGAGGAATCTGGGAGCAAGTTAAGTTCATTCGTACCCATTCTTTCCCGCTGTCAAGATCGCCTGCTCTATTTTGCAGTTATATTGCCCTCGTATTTGTTCGGTTTACACTTTCGTGACTTTATTTCCAAGTTATTTCGCCAAGATCAGACAAGTTTACATCTTGAAAGCACTTTGTTTAATATAACTTTGAAGTGGAGTCCGAATGTCTCGAGAGCGGAATATCAAGTCAACTAAGAAGCCCGAGAAATTGAATGTTTCCGATTACGATGATAAAACCTCGGCGCAGAAGGAAAAGGATGTCTCCGTTTCGAAGCCTTCAGGGGCTCAGACATTTGTAAAAATTTACTATGTTTTGATGCCTGTTTTAGTTGTTGTCATTGCCGGCCTTTTAACTTTTGCAGTCACACGGCAGGAAACTGCGACGATCGTAAAAGAAACTACTAAAGAGACGGGACCGGGTACAAGAGCCAAGACGAAAGAAACTTCAAAGAAAGAAGTTTTGTTAACCGCAGAAGAGCTAGCTAAGCACGATGGCTCCGATCCTAACATTCCAGTATACTTAGCTATTCTTGGTCGAATTTACGATGTTGAGAAAGGAAGGCGACATTATGAAGTGGGCAGTGGATACAATGTGTTTGCAGGCAGGGACTCGACCCCTTCCTTTGTTACTGGAAAATTTGCCAGAGAGGATGCTACAGATGACGTGAAAGGTTTATCCCCAGAGGATATGATGGGTGTCAAAGGCTGGTTGGATTTTTATAGAAAAGACTACACTTACGTTGGAAAATTAATAGGGCGTTACTATGATAGTGAAGGAAAGCCAACTGAGGCATTGCAGGAAGCTAAATCACTCATAAAGGAAGGACAGCGTCTGCAAAAACTACAAGACGCTGAAAATAAACGCTTTCCAGGTTGTAATTCAAGGTGGAGTAAGGATGAAGGATCACTTGTTTGGTGTTCTGAAAACAGGTATGTTTTTAG